AACTTACAAAGCTGTGTGAGTTAACCTTGACTCTTCCAGCCACTAGTGCCTCAGTTGGGCATTCTTTCTCTCATTTGAAAAGAATACACAGTTACATCAGAAATGCACAAAGACAAGAAAACTTTTTAAGGAAATAAAGACTGAAAGTTTCTATGAAGATATAATAAATTTATTCAATCAAAAGGAAAGGAGGATGGAACTGAAATATAAATAAAGTAGGTAGCTGAATGTCTTGTTTTTATCTTTAATTGGAAGTACTTAATCTTAAGTATGATTAATGACTACAAGTAATTAATTTTATCTTTATTGGCCATCCTGTACATATTTTTTATTTTATTTTATAATCCACCTTAAATGCTTTTGCTTCCCCATCAGAAGAAATTACCATACACCCCTGCTGGGAATCCAACACTTGGGTAGAAGAAGGAAATGGAAAACCAGCCATAGGGGTGAGCTGTACTATATGGAGAAAACACCATCTCCCTACTCTCTAGTGAGTGGGAATGGTCACTCTAAAGAGACATCTCCATGTTCCCCCACCTCAGTGGCTAGGAACTGGTGTGTGGTAGCAAGGATTCCAAAGTTCCACTAGAAATAAAAAAAGGGGGTGAAAGAGTGGTGGGGAGCCCAAAGGAACACATCACTGTAAAACAGTGCAAAAGGTGACCACAAAATCCCTATTTTTAAAAGCAGGCCAGCACTAGATCTAAAACTGGGCAAGGAAGATGGGCAGAGATTCACTACCTGCTGTACTCATGCTAGTCCTTCAGTGGGTATAGTCTGGATTGAGCCTTGTTTAAATAATAATAATAATAAAAAAAAAAGGTTTATGCAATTAGAGATGGTATGACATGTGAAGAACAGCAACAGTGGGCAGTCTATAGTACAATGAAGAAGAAATGGCCAGATGATGGAGATACTGTGTGATAAGGGTGTGAGAGTTCATCCACATGCAAACCTGAACAGTCTCTTCCAAAGGACAATGAAAGTGAGCAGCCATTCAGTGAGTTAGGTAACGAATTTGACACTTGGAAATGTTAAAATGCAACTCCTTACAACAAAGGAAGAATATGATAAATAGATAAGCTGCCAAACCCATCCAGTGAAAGTAAAAAGAGAAAGGTCATGAGTGGATGAATGATCCCATAGAATGAAGAGACATGACCAGGAACCAAGAAAGGAAGAAGTGCAGACCAAATAACAATGGACTGCACAAAAAGAACAGACGAGGTGATCAGAATCCAAATGGGAATAAAGATGAGAAACAGAAGGAAGAGATATAGGGGTGAACACACCATCACATTCCGCACACGTTTTAGGGAGAAAAGTGCAATCTGGATAAAGAAGGATATAAATAATGGAATAGAATGTGAGAAGAATCAATAGCATAGGCATACACTTCAGAATATCAATGACCAAAGGTGAGAAGGAGGAGGAAATAAGTTTTAAGGGAAAGAAAGCCAAAGGGAGGTACAGTAAGGACAAGTAGAACAACATTAAGTTCCCAGTCAAGTAGGCTAGAAAGACAAGTAGGGTAATGGAAATGAAAGAAACGACACAGCGTAGTAAGAACTTGGGAGGTTATAATCTGATGGAAAGGAGAAATGTAGAAAGTAGCCAAGAAAGCCACCCAGTAACCAGCAATAGTCAAGATAGACAAGTTCTGATTGAAAAGCCATGTGAAGAACTCGTACAGATGAGCAACGAGAAGGGTAGAAGGATCCACACAGGGCCCAATGGCAATACATATGCCACTTCTGCTGATAAACATCTAAAGAGGATGAGTAAACAGAATGAGACAGGAAGAAGACTACTTGTGAAGAGAATCCCAACCATCATACAATGGACTGGACAAATCCCAAACATGAAGCTGGGAGGGATAACATAGCTAGATGGAAGAGAGGTACGAGACTGAAGATGAAGGGAGTGGGAGAGCAGAAGAAGAAGAGAAGGGAAGGAAGTCAGAAGGCTCAGCAGAGGAAACCAGACAATAGTGTGCTAATAGAAGTACCCAACAAAGAGTATTCTAAACGAGAGAGGAGATGAATAGGGGGTAAGCATAAAGAAAGAGATTGGACCAGTCCTGACTGAACACATTCACCACCAGTGCTGCTGGATGCAGAACAGGAAACTAGAATAGGGAAAGCTTGGCATTGTCACAAGTGGCAAAAGCATTGATGAAGAATCCTCAGACAAAAGAAAAGCCATAAAAACAACACAAGGATTGAGGATTACTCAGTAGAAAATATCTAGTCAGGTCTCAAAAAAACAATCCAGGAAAAGATTCAGGGCACTCAGAACATAACAGGCTACCATACGGGTACATAAAGAATGAGCCCAAAAGAAGAGGTCGAGGGACGGGAACACAGAAATTGAAACTGAGTGCCCTCCTGATGATTGATGTATGATACCTCAGTTGAGTTATCTGAATGGACCATCACCAAAAGGCCAGGTACAACTGGAAGAAAATTATCCATAGCTCAATAAACTGCTAAGAGCTCCTGGTTCCATCAACTCAAAATCTCAAACGAGTCAAGACAGGAATTGAAGAATATACACAAATGAACCAAATACTGAATGGGTGAGAGATGAGACTTCTTCAGCTTGACACAAACCCAGACGAGCTGCCTCCACGAAAAGAAGAGTATGGTTGAGGAGTCCTGTCAGGATGAAGCTAAAAAAAAAGCCAATCATCCATATAATGGTGGAATCTCAATCGAAATCCATGAATATAATGAGCAAAGGTACACACTACATGACAAAAACTTATGGGGCCAACACCAGCCCAACAGGAAAAGTTCAAAAGTGATAAACTCGACCCTGATGTAGAAACCAAAGGTAAAACCTGGATGATGGATAGATGAGGATGTGAAGATAAGCATAAGAGGTATCCACCTCGGTCCTCCAAAGCCTTGGAAAAAATTCCCACCAGACAGTGAGAAAACTCTCCATGGTAAACTAAGGAAGATAGAGAAACTGACCGAGATCTGAAAGATCTATGACCAGATGCCATACCCTGGTTTTCATAGGAATGACAAGCAGATGGGAATAAAATTCCTAAATCAATTAAGAAACACTTTTGATAGTATCCTTGTTCAAAACCTTTGACACTGCCTCAGAGAGATGTCAGCTAGGTACAGGATCCCCTAGAGGGCAAACAGGAGACAAAAGAGGAGGAGAGGAAAAACAACAAAGAGTAAGGCCTAGTGATAGAACTTGTAGCACCCAACAGTCAGCCACAAAAAGAATCCATAAATCCACATTGGGAAAAATGTGCCTTCACTGTTCCTGATCCGAGAGGATAGTTTCCAACAAGATTATCAACAATGAAACCTACAGACAATGGAAAAACAGATGGGAGAAGAGGAATGGAATGGAAGAAAAGGGAGTAGAAAGAAGACAGAAAAAAGGAACTTTGGAAAGACGGGACAAAAGGATAGTCAAGGAAAAATGGTGGCATGCAGTCTCAGCCTGTGACTATAGACTCGGGTACCTCACCAAAAACCCACTGGTGGAGGAAAGGAGCCAGACAAAGGTCCCTGAGATAAAAGGAAGGTAAGCATACTTGGACAAGAAGGGCATCCCTCACACCAAATCCCAGCAAGAGAGTAACCAAATAAGAAGGGATGAGGCCAAAGAAATGCACTAACATAGAAAAAAGGAATGAGTGACAGCCAAAAACCCCTCAGGGGAATTGGGATTGCTTCCAAAAGGAGATGGATGGAGGATAGATAATGTAAAAGGGTTGTAAGGGTAAGGTGAAGGTATAAAAATGAGCTTGAGAAAGACTAAAAAGTGTCAATGGATCAAAACTCCAAGCCTGAAGAAAATACTCCACAGTTTGGGAGTCCAAGAAAAGGGCTTCAGCTCAATTGTAAGCCAAAGCATATCTCCAACCAGGAAGAAAAACATAATATTCTGAAGTAAATAATAATACAAAATAGGAGAAAATAAAAAATAGGTAACATACCTGAGAAGAAAAGTCACAGAAGGATGCAGAATGTCAAGGTGTAACCACTTCTGCACTAGAAAAAGTGCTTGCAAATTTAGGCAGTGGAAAAGATTGCCTAAAATCCACTTCCTCAAGAACAAGAATTTATGCCAATGCCCAAAAGAGACCAAGGCTGCACAATAGCTGTCATGTCCCCTGACAGCTAGTGAAGCACCCAATGCCACTGTGGTAATCTGTCTAGGGTGAACAAAGTCCAATATTCAAACTAGAAAGCATGAAATTGACTGTTTCTGTGTAGTGCATGTTGTGGGAAATAAGAACTACAAAATCTGCAGAGGAAGAATTGTTTGAAAAAAACACAAAAAATATTCCCACAACAGTGGTTTGTAGATACTTCAACCAAATGTTGATGTTGAAAAATCTCACACAAGCAAAAAAAAGATGCATCTTAACACATGAGTACTAAATCTAGAAGTGATAACTGAATAATCAATATAGAAGGAAACAGCATCACACTCCTATTAGTGGAGGGTTGTTGGATACTCATTTGGATGCAACAACTCAGCAATATCACATGGAAACACGTGAGATTACTTGGGAGCCTCAAGACTAGTGGTGAGCAAAAAATTTGCATATAGAGGGAAGCACTGAATCAGAAAGAGCTAAATGTAAGAGGTGTATCATATCAGAAAAAAAATCATAACTTTTACCAGAATACCTGCTACATATCTACAGGTACAATTAGTACTAAGTTAGTCAAACTACACAAGCCTCTATGACCACTAAGGCTGTTAGCAGCATTTTCAGTCTAGAAGACAAATTTCTACAAAGCCAATGTCATTATAAACTGCATAATTGAGAAAGACAAGTAATGTCATATGATCATAACACTAAGTTTGCCTTTATTTCTTATTTTACTAAGCAGTTTATTATTAGCCTTGCATAAAATTATGTTTATTATATCATTAGGCAAGTTTTTTTAAGACAACTTGATAGCAAAATGTAATAGATTTTAACTTTTTTTTTACAAATAAAAGCCAAATATTACCTCCAGATTTCTCAATCTTTTCAATGCAAAAGTTGGCTGTTACAGATGTTGCAGGGTGATGAGCAGTTGCCTGTGTTGATGTCACGATTGTACTTCCCTTCAATATGGCAGAAACAGAATGTTGTGCAGCTTTACGGACCTTAAAAATCATATACTTGAAATCAATGAATGTCTACAAGTACTCATAAGAAAAAGATGTTAGTTAATTATAGAAAACATTATTACAAAAGCTTTTATGAATATCAATTAACCCTTTTGCTGTTTGAAGTGATTTACAGCTTGTGTGGCAGAATTATTAAATAGACATGGTTCAAAAAGGCAATAAAACAATAAAATTAACTATAAATAGATGTATACTATTACAAGCTTTAATCTATTTAGGATAAAGAATTGTGATTTCCTGTTATAATTTGCAATCATTCCAGAAAAAAAAGGATAATTTAAAATTATTTTCTAATTTTGTATGGTGGTTATGAGGTTGGTCAAATTTATTGAACCTGTATAGAGCTATAGTATAGAAAATAACAGATAAAATATACAGTTTTTCTGAAAAATATTTCATATTTAGGAGGTTTTTAGGAATTATGCAAATACAGTTTGAAAATTTTCAGGTGAAGAAAAGTACTTTTAACCTTACAATGAAAATCACATTTGAAGCAGTCAACACTTTGACTCTGCATAATTACAAAGTTTGAGTAATAGTACTAAATTAAAAATTCTGATTTTTTTGTCTATGAAAGAATTTCAATGTTTATAGAAAGTTTGCCAAATTTCTTGAAGGTACACTAACCCTTTGTTTGAAGCTTGTTTGAATCTGCTCAAAAATTCACGAATTTTTGCAGCAGGCCATTCAAAATGCTTGCATCATACGACATCAACCACGGTCATTTATGCTAACATTATATGATGTCAACTGCAGTTGATGGGTTAAGTACTTTCAGAGATATAGTATTTACACCACCCTGATTACAAGGTTGTGTAAACTACACAAGCCTGTTGCAATCAGACATAGGGTACTTGTATTCAAATATATTCGAATACAGCTTTGGGAGTATTCGTACTTGTATTTGAATACTTTGGTAGGGAAAATTAAAGTATTCGTATTCAAATTCAATAGCATAGTATTCGTATTTGCTGAATGATTTAGTGAATACTTCACACTGTAAGAGTAAATGTCAACTTTTGTACTCATCAAATTTCTAGACTATCATTACTACATCTGCAGCACATTAATTTCTATTTCTGTACAAGCTTCATTCCCACAGGAGTTTCCCATGGGAACAAAGTTTGTACAGAAAGAGAAATTAATACTTTTCTGTAAAAAAAGCAATGTAATATAATACATCATTTGATACATGAAATCCTTGACTTTCTATTGGTTATAAATAACATAGTATTGAATGTCAGAGAGAACTATTGACAAATCCTGAAAAAGAGGATGTAACAGTTGGGTGTGGCAAGAGGGGGTCTGATGTTCTATTTGATGGCTCTGTAACCAAACAAGATTGAAGGCTATAAAAAATTATGCTTTGTCTGAGTGATGACAATATCATAAAAAGTAATTTATGTTAAATTTCATACTTATTGGATGGGTGAATAAGTTAGAAAAGAGGAAATGCCTAGTCACACTAGGGGAAATTCAGGATTTTGTTTTAATATTGCCTTATAAAATTAAGAACTTAAAACTTATAAACTATTAAAATATGGATTATTAGCTATGATTTTATGCTATAATGATTAGTATAATATGAACAAAAAGTAGTTTAATTAAATTTTGAATGTAACTTACTAAAAACACTGTGACATGCACACCTCAAAGGTTATTGTATTAAATGGTTATTAATTGAGTCAAATCACTTGAGAGAATTTGAGATGGCTAGTAAACTACCTTCAGTGGTACATGAATACTTCATACTTCCTACTGCTAAGCCTGGTCACATCAAGTCAAAGTTTAAATATTGTGAGCAGACTACTTCTACTTCAGGAAAAACCACTTTTAACCTACTGACACATTTGAAGGTAAGCCTTTTATATTATTTTGTTAATTTGAACTATATTCTATGTTAATTATACAATATAATATAGGTAAACTAAATTTCTTATGCATGTTAAACTGTATATTTTATCATTTTCATTTATTTAGTATTACAGGTTTTTATTATTTTTATTATAAACTATATTCTATATTATGTAACTACGATATGCTTTTCTATTTCTAGATAATCATGGACAGAGCTACAAAAGTCTACATCTGGCTCTGGTACTTCTGTCCAGGTGAAGCAGCCTACAATAGCAGCTTACTGTACAGTATCAACTAAGATTTAAGTCTACAAACTCTCATCAGAAGCACATCACTAACACACTCATCAATTTTATTGATGCAACTCTTCTCAGTGGTGGAGTCAAAAGATTTTCAAAACTTAATGGCAGCCATAGATTCTCAGTATATTCTTCCCAGTTACAAGCATCTGTCCACAATGTTGATCAAGAGGAGGTTTGATGAAGTCCAACAAAAATTCATCTCTCTACTGTAACTTGTACCCAACATAAATGTCACTGTGGATATCTGGAGTAGCAGACAAATGTGCAGCTTTCTTGAAGTCATTGGTCATTTTATATTTGACTGGAAAATGCAAATAGTCATGCTGACATGTCAGCATTTCAAGGAGCATCACACATCTGATAACAATGTAGCTCAATAAAAATAAATCTCTAACATCAAAAACAAGGTGTCATATATGACATCTGGTAATGCATCCAACATGATCAAAGCTTTCTGTTTGCCTGTATTTGAACCACAAACACTACCTAGTGTGAGAGATGGTGACAGCTCATCTACAGATAGTGACTCAGAAGATGAACTTTTGGATGAATCTGAAACAGCAGTCAATTTATCCGAATTTCTTCCTGAACATGACCCCTGCTCTTCCCACATGCTACAGCATGTGGTAAGGGATGGCATGAAAGAAGATGGACCTCTGCTAAAAGTAATTTCCAAAGCATCAGCCAACATGTCCTACATTCATAAGTCAACAAAATCAACTGGCCAGAGTTCAGTTGGAAACACCAGCACAATGGAACTTGGAAAATAAGATGTTTAAGTCTTTATTGAAGACTAGTGTATAGCCCATCAAAAATAACAGAGCAAGTACTACAACACCCACACCATAGTATACCCTAACCTCACATATCATAGCTAACTGAAATAAATTTTGCAAAATCCAGCTTGACCAACGAAGAGGCAGAAAAGTGTAATCACGGCAGTCAAACACTGGTAAATTCCTTTGCGAGCCAATCAAAATTAAGATCATTAATGAAATTAATTCTTTGCATATTAATAGAATAATTAATGGTAAAAATCAGATTAACAACTTCTAATATGTAGAAAAACCAGTGCATTTTGGTAACACTATGTTCCAGCAACCGCTTTTATGTCATGTTGCTTAGCAACAAAAGTATGACCTAATATTGTTGCTAGTCTATGTATTGAAAGTATAAGATGAAATGTATAGACAACAAAACTGAAAAAATATTTATCGATTTCTAAATTTAGTCTCTCCATTGATTAAAGAGATTTGTCTTTTATTAAAAAGCTAGTGATATAACAGAAAATTCATATATAATTTAAGTTTAAAATTGAATTGATATTTTTACTTTCATGATAAATTTTATGCACTTGGCTCTGGGCTACATGATCCCACACTACATCCTTATTTTAGACTTATTATATCAACACTCAATACTCATAAGGTTTCATAGCACCCCCCATTCCCTTTATGGCCCCCTATCTGGATAAGTGCCTTTTGTCTTGTATGACTCTTCCTATTTTAAGAAATCAAGCATGGTGTGACATGATGCACACTGGCTTTTATAAAGGTTAGATTCCCCAGGAGAAGTTGGATAACCTAGATACTGGTACATCAAAACTTACTTTTCATGATCAAACTGTACTTGCAGATTTGGTGACAATACTGACACCTTTTGAAGAGGCAACAGAATTTTACCCATGTTGTGCCATGTGTTTATGGGCTGATGACTGAGATTAACAGCATGCAATCCAGATATAATTTCAATCTTGTCTCTGCACCAAAGAAATCTGTTCATGCCTGGCTGACTCAGTACGAGCAACGAAATGTCTTCTGCTTCGCTGTGGCACTGTATCCCAGATTGAAACTTGACTGGTGTTTCATTAGACTTATGGTCTATGAATCCAATCAAATTTTCCTGCAGCAAGAAAGTTTCCTCAACAAATAATCCTACAACTATGGAACCAAAAGAGGACTGTAAACCCCTAAACTTGCAAAAGTAAGCTCTCTAGTTTCTTTGCTGCCTCCAAAAAACCAGCCACCTCATCTTCAGAGGATACAGAGATCAACATCTAACTCAAGGGTCCTTGCATTTCTGAAGAAAGCAACTTTCTAGATTACTGGAAAATGCATGAAAAAACTTTCCTACCTTATCTCTACCAGACAAATGCTACCCAAGTGTTCCAGCATCTTCTATCCCCATTTAGCACTGGAAGCAAAAACCTCAGACCTAATCACTGCCACCTCACTGACAAGACATTTGGGAGACTGATGATCATAAAGAACAATAGACAGTAATAATACCTGTAAGTCTTCTTTAAAGATATATTGAAATATTATTTGGTCAACTTTTGTTTCGGTTTCCAAAAGTTTGTTTCATAAAATAAAGCTATTAACATCTTATTGTGTGTTATTTTATCATTATTGCATATTACCTGACAAAGTATTCATGAATATGCTCCTGAGTATTTGTATTCAAATACTTAGCATTTTCCTGTATTTGTTTTCACATTTTTATTCATAAAAATATGAATTATTCACATTTGTATGTGATCTGCATTAATTGCCCCATCCCTGGTTGTGAGAGGGTTAAGTGAGTGTGAGTAATTACTTAACAAACAAAACTGCCATTTGATTAATAGTTCTCCATGTTTAACAACAACACCAATTTTTCACAAATACTTCTAACTCTAATGGAGATCCATAAGCACTATTGAAAGAGCCTAAAAAAGGTGTTTCAGACTGTATCATAAATCTCATGAAAACAGAGCTATCAGCCAAAAACCTGATTGTATCCCCCATGTAATTCACTGCTAATAGAAGATGGCAAACATACTATTCAGAATTGTAGTTTTTACACTTTACCTTTGGCTTGGAGTGAGTAATACAATTCAGAAGAACACTGTAGACCTGTAATGTAGATGAGTTATTCCAAACTGCAGCATCTTGAGCACGCAGAAGGGTAGACAAACAACCTATAAGCTAAAAATAACATAATTGTTAATTATTTTATTTTTATGTACAAATAATAATGATATCAAGTTTTAAACATACCTCTATAGATCTAGTTGTTGTGTTACTTGCTTCACATATTGAAAAACTTTGTTTCCAAATAGGTTTAAGGATTTCTTTTTGATAAACTTAGTTTTAAGCTGATGTTGGTAAAAGATTTGCTATATTTACCCCTCTATTCAAAATCTATATCTAAACATTTGTTTCTCTAGCTTCATAAGATGACTTTAGAAGCTAGAAGTGACTGATCTGTTTCTCTTTTTAATTTATCACAAGTAATACCTATCATGCCAGAAGTAGTTAAGGTTTTTAATTTCAAAACATGGACTGTGTCCTGGTGATTTTAATCTAATTAACATTTTTATTATAGATTTTGTTGTTAAGGCCATGTTTTAATAATACAAATAAACCCAATATTACAATTAGCTTTAGCTACGTGAATGTAAAAAAAAAAAATATATATATATATATATATTGCTACTTTTCATAAATGTATTCTTACTAGTAACTTAGAAATTGTGATCTAAATACAGAATTGCCACAAAATGTAATTAGCAAGATATTCTAAAATCTATTGAAAAAACCGTGATTAATACATTTTGAAACTTAATTATATTTATTTTTAGAATGGAAGTTTTATGTACGTAATAAAACAAGATTTAAATGATTTCATGTGAATTTAAGTAACTTCCCTATAGATATAACATTTGATCATTAAGAAATAAGATCCACGAATTGCAAGAAAAATATATCATTGTTCCCATAGATAAAGCTAATTGTAATTTTGAGTTTATTTGTAAAAAGTTGTATGCACTACTATGATAAATTAAATTAACAGTCCGCAAACACTTAAACTTGTTAACCAATCTAAGTGTGCAGTAACAAGTAATTTCATTTATTTTTGGATTTACCTTTCCTGAATGATATTCCTAATCTACATAAACCTCTGATTAATTTTAGATTTCTTTTCAGTTCAGTGAAAACAATTATTAAATCACCAATCATTTTGTTAAATAAATTACTTAATATTTTATTTGACAGAATTAGAAATACAAAGAGTAAGAACAATAAACACTTTTTGAATAATAAAATATAATCAACCAATTTTAGAATACTTAAGTAATTGTGAACAAGTGAAAACTATTCAAACATTTGATTTTACCACCCTATACATGACAATTGCATCGAAACATTTAAATTCAGTTATGAATACATTAAAAGAACAATACTGTAATACTTCCGTAGTACTTGAAGAAAGAAATTTTACCTCCAAAAGTATAAAGGATACAAGTTTCTATATCTATAAATATTATTTTTTGAATAATCAGGTACTTAAACAAGTTATAGGAGTTCCAATGTGAGCTAACTATTCTACTTGTATAGCAAATTTATATCTTTAGTTTAACGAAAATAAATTGAAAACTCTTCTAATTCTGAAGTAGAAGAATTGTTAAAATGAAGGAATTGAAATAATTAATCATGATTAATCTTGAAATACTGATGCAAAAATTAATATTTAAGGAATTTAATAAAAACATTGAATAAAATTATTAAAATATTTTGTAGTAAATATGAAAATGTATTACATAAATATAAAGAAATAAGAATTAAGAATGTCTTGCTGGAAATTTCTGATAAATACTTTGTTTTTAATAAGGTAATTTAAATAACTTGGCACTATTTTCATGAATATATGAATACCATTCTCACACACAAGCTAAAAGCTCTAATACAGGGAATTGTCAGAAACTTACTTTTTTTAGTAGCATATATATAGTAATGTAAGTATATGGGTGTGTTGGGCTAAGGATTCTTCTATAGGTGTCCATGACTTATTGATGATAAACAAACAGCACACACTTCACTTGTTAAAATAACGTGTGTATGTGTGTGTCTATATGTTAAACATATGTACAAAATTCTTTACACTATGGAGACCAAAGTTGTATCTTAAATGCTATACAGGTCTCTTCTTCTTGTCAAAAGTACACTTAGGCCAATTCAATTGCTATAGAATTCAGTTTACAAGCCAAACTATTTTTCTCTATTTTTATCGCAATAATATGTGTATAATTCACTTATACTGTCGCATAAGTAACTGCAGTTGTACCCTGAATTTCCAATAATCATCTGCTCTTCGAACTTCAAATAATCACCTGCCTTTTATCAAATGTGACAGATTTATTATTATATATTTATTTCAATATCAACGTTTGTTTAGATTAAGTTTATATTTAGAAATACGCATAGCTTATAGTGTTAAATATGTATTGTGAAACTTTCACCTATTCTCTAGTTGTAGAAGATTCTCTAGTGTAAGAATCAACAATGTATGTATGTAAATGCTTAATGTAACTTTGTACTGTTACATAATCTAATTTTTCTAGAAACTCTCCACACACCTATAAGTATAACCAACACGACGTGCCAAAAAGGTAGTATCTATTGTTAGTTTGCTATAGTAAGTGTGTTACAAACTTCGGAAGCTATAACTGTGATTATTATAATGCTTATCAATTGGAAAACTTCAGATATTTGACCAGGAACATTTACAAAGTTTGAACATTACAAATCATTTAACTTCAGTAGATTCTCATCAGACATTAGTGTTTTTTACGATAATCGTTATACAACTTCTTCGTAAAAAACTTTGTGTGTGAGACTGGTGAACAATGAAGGATATGAATGTATGTAAATCATTGTATGTAATAACTATTTGTAATAACTTTATTGTAAATTGTAATGTTGTTTGTATATACAAAACATGT